GGAATCTCCATACTTTCCAAGGTGACTGCACCAATTTGCAATCCCACCAGTAACAAATGAGTGTACCATTTCTCCCACATCCTCGTCATATGTTTTCTCTGATAAGTGGATGCTGATCTATAGTGGCGGCAGGGACAAGGTAAGAACGGAGGAACTTTGGATTGGAGAGAGGGGAGTGAGAAGAGTGGAGAGGAGGAGTTATAGGGGTGGGAAAGATAGTGGAATGAGATGGACATTATTACCCTATGTACGTGTATGATTGTACGAATGGTGTTGAGTCTGCATGGTGTACAATCAGAAAAAAGAAAAGTTGTGCTCTGTTTGTGTATAATGAGTCGAAATGCATTCTGCTGTTGTATATAACTAATTAGAACAACAACAACAAAAGGCACCGTGACTATTTCACACTACAAGAATGGCAGTAAACTGTTAAGCATGGTGATACAGGAAGTTAGAAGACTGAGCCTTGATCCTACCTTTTTATTAGTAGGACCAGCACTGGACAGACTATATTCAGGCTTATTATGTCAAATGAAAAATCTTCAAAGTTTAAACCCAAACATTCACAGTGTATGAACAAGTGCCAGTTTTATGAAGCTACACGGGTCCTGCCTTAAGCCCTTTTTTTCTGTTTTATCAAAATACCTGATACTGAGTAATACATAAAGAACCAAATTTATTTCTCACAGTATGGAGCTCAGAAGTCCCAGATCAAGGCACTAGCAGGTTCAATGTCTAGTGAGGGCCTTTTCAGGCAGTAATCCTTTCAAGAGAGCAGAGCCCCATGACATAATCACTTCCTCCAAAAAGGCCCTACTTATAAAACCACACAATACTGAATAAGTTTTAACATGAATTTTGGAAAGAACAAATATTCAAACCATAGGAGATCCTTGTACCTTTTTATCCATAACACCTTTGCCATGAGCAGATGTTCCTACAAAACTACAAGAGAAGCCCTAACACTCACATCTTTCTCTGAATATTTTTAAGTGTCAAAGAGAAGTATGTCAATTATGTCTAGCTTTGGCTAGTTTCGTTTCCCCTCTTTTGGAGTGGCACATATTACTTTTCTTAAATTAATGTTCATGATATGCCATCAGTTAGTGAAATATTCAGGAGTCAATGCATGATTTAAATGGGTTTATTTGATTGCTATTATATAATGAAGAGATTGTAAGTCATTCCATCACACCATGGAGAAATTTCAATTTTCCACATCTTTAATCTTAATACCTTGGCTTATTTAAAATCAGACAGCTCAACTATTTTAAAATTAATTTTATTGAATAAATCAATGCCTTATGAAAATCAAAACTTAAAAGTTGATTTTGGACTTCTACCTATTATAATTGATCTAATATCAAATATGATTAGAGTCTAAACAGCACCATACCTTTAGAAATAAAGTATAACTTTTTTAGAAATAGTTTCTAAGTCGTTTATGATTAAATAAAGACTGTTTCACCAATAAGCCACATACCCAGCCCTTTTTAAAAATATATATTTCATATAGAGATAAGGTCTTGCTAAGTTGTTTAGGGCCTTGCTAAATTGCTGAGGCTGGCTTTAAACTCAGCATCCTCCTGCCTCACCTCCCAAAAATCTGGGATTACAGGACACAGTGCCCAGCCCTTCTTAGTCTATAATTTTAAGGTACAATATTCCACAAGAAATAATAGTGATGATTTTTCCTCCATCATGTTCTTTTTAACAATGGCCAGGTCACCTCAGAGTCATTCTGTCAGAGTAAATCTGACACTGTCTCTCAATTACCTTCCTGGATTACTTTAATTTTTATTTCTCTTTCCTCTCCAATATTTAATATACATTAGTCATCATGACATTATGTAGGTATTTACTGACATTTAGTTTTAATGCCTCCATATTTCCCATTTATATAAAATTAAAATGGTTGATAGTGAGTTCCTTACTCATTGCCATTTCCAAAATAGCAGTACAATTGATTTTTTAACAATGTAGAGGTCAGAGGCATAAACCCCACCCCCATTGCATGGAAAATCTTTATATAGTTTTGACTCCTGAAATCTTAACTACTAATAACCTGCTACTAAGTGAATGCCTTACTTATAATAAAGCAGTCAATTATCTCATATTGTGTGTGTTATGTTATTACATATAGTATAACATATTTGAGAATGGTAAGAGATCACTTTTTTACTGGGGACAAGCTGCTCATTTTACTAGAGACACAAGCTGCTCATTTGGAGGTGATTATCATCCTCTGCTCACAACCCTTGAGTTCACCACAAGAAAAAAGGAGATGGTCACACAATTATTATAGCAGTACAGTATTACTGTAGTTAATTGTATGCATTTATGATTTAATATTGCTTATTTTCTCTTATTTACCTTTGTTTTAACTATGAATAGTAGTGCCATGTACAGTCTGCAAGTGTTTGTGTGCAGAAGTTTTAATAAATTTTAACTTCTAATAAGAGACTTGTGTGTATTTTATGGTAGCACATGATAAACTACTATCTGTATATATTTTGTGCATTCATGACATACCTTCTAATTTTTTCCCTTGTTTTGATATTCCTAGGCTACACAGTTTGTCTGTGAGTCTTCTTCAATTTGTCACAAATCTTCAGTGAAAATCTATGATTAAGTGGAACCAAGTAGTTCAGACTTGTGTTGTTCGGGGTCAACTGTACTTGATAATCTCCATAATAAGAAAATCATATGGCCTTTCCCCACATATATGTAATGGCCTGAATTTCATAGTTTACCTTTCCCTGAATGATGTGACCTAAAAAAATGCTCAGGGGGAAAAAAACATTATACATTTCCTTTATTTCTCCCTTTCCTTAACCTTTACTTCTTCAGACACATCTAATTATTTTCTGTATAGTTTTTATTGGTTATAAGAATTTTTATATGTATATGAAAATAAGAATTTTTACTTCGTGTTTCATTTCCCAAATAGTCTGTTAAATTGCTACAAAAGTCTGAAAAATTAGCTCAATTGTCACAAGTTGTCTTGCTTTTCCCTAAGGTACATACATATAAAAATGTATTTATTACATTAGCAATGTTTTAAAACATTTTATAATACAGCATTTTTCCATTATGATTGGTTTATGTGTTCACGTATCTGTTCCCCAAATACACACTATGATACTTTGTCCCACTTCAGAACTGTGTCTGGCACATAGAAGGTTTTAAATCAATACATTTTAGCTGAATTTGACCATAACAGAATTGGAGGCTAGAACTAAATCTTTTACTTCCTCTATAACTGTCAAGGAAAACATGTAGAACATGTTTAGGAAATACTGAAATTTAAGCCAGAACTAAAAATCTGGCCTCAAAATTGTACCAGTCTTTCCCTCTGGAACAGGATTCAGTGCATTGTCCCTTATTCTTCCTACTAATGACAACCAAAAATCCCAGACAAAATAAGAAAATATCAGAGGGCTCTGAAAGAAGAGATAAAAATACAAACAAATGAAAGATTTTTATAACTTCAAAAGTAACAAAGAAGTGAATTTTCTGTGTTTTGATGGTTTGCTTTGCTTCCATATTCCTGCCTGGGTACTAGAGAAGTCCATAAAATAGAAATGCCAATAGAGGCAGACAAAATATAAAAAACCCCAAGGAAGCATGGTTTCTCTAAAAAGAGACTGAGAAAAAGATGGAAATGCAAGATGTAACCCTTTAGACTATGTCTAGTCTCCTCCAGTGAATAGCAAGAGAAAAACAGTGCCTACTTCTTTCCCCACTGGGATCTGCCTTCTCAGACTGCAAACAAAATCCCATCTTTCATCCCTGCTCTGCTCCAAGGAGGCATTAAACCACCATTCATTGTCACGACTGTGTGTTGGACTCCTAACAACCATTCTCATGCTACACACACTTAAAAAGGGCTGCATCTACTCTCAGCCACAGTGATCACTGTTGTGATTCTGCAATAAAATAGCTGTGAGAATCATTTCAACCCAGTGCTGACTACAAATCAGCAAAAGAGCAATATCCCTTCCTCTCTTCACCATAGTCTTTAGAGACTATGAGGTAGAATCCTGTTTACTATCCTAATCTTGCACTAACTAAATGACAAAGCTAAAGCTTCTACACAATTCAAAAATTGAGAGCAGGTATAGGGAGAGAAGGGAACTGCAGGATAAGATTTGCATAGAAAGCTCTAAGTAAACTCCAAAATGGCTTGAGCATGGAAGCAACCATAGGATTTCAGAACTGGTAATTTATTGAAAAACATATAAATAATGCAGATCACAATGGCACCATAAAGGTTTTGAAATTGACATTTAAATAAAAGTTCGCAAAAGTAAGCCAGGCATAAATTCTGAACAATGCACGCATAGCAAGGAATATTGTCTGCACAGTAAGAAAAAGTAGAAAATAGTCTTATCATATAAAACTAGTATCTCTCATGAACCATACAAAATCTTCTAAAAAACACTGGCAAATTAAAACCAGAAATAAAAATAATCATGCACTGTGGGAAAGACAGTTTATCAAAGGAATGCAAAGTTGGCTTAGTATTTGAAAACCAAACAATGTAACAAACTATATTTACAATACGGTTCCCTCAGTATCCATAGGTGATTGGGTTCTAGGACCCCTCACAGATAGGGAGTTCTGTGTATGCTCAAGTCTCTGCGTATGCACATCCTCTGAAAACTCTTAAGTTATCTCTAGGTTGTTTCTGTTATCTAATGTAATGTAAATATTATGCAAATATTCATTGAATTGTTTAAGGAATAACAACAAGAAAAACATTTGTTCACATTCAGTACCAAGGCATTCATATTTTTCAAATGTTGGTTGAATCAGTGGATGTATAAACCATAGATACAAAATGTTGACTATATAAAGAAGTGAAAGCATGATTATTTCAAATAATGCAGAAAAGATGTTTGGCAAAATATCATGCCCATTCATACAAAACTGCTTAGCAAACTAATAGAAAAAAACTTCAATCTGATTAAGAGCATCTATCAAAAATACATACTTACCATAATACTTGCTGATGAAAAACTGTTTTCCCCCTAAAGTTGGGAGCAAAGCAAAGATATTGATTATTACCACTCCTACTCACCATAGTACTGGAAATTCTAGTCAGTGAAATAAGGCTAGAAAAGGAATCAAAAAGCAAACAGACTAGAAAAAGAAAAAATGTTTACTGTCCCTCCCATGGATATCATGAGAAGGAAATTTCAGAAAATTTAAAATAATCTATTTTTTAAAAACTCCTAGAACTATCAAGTAAACTTAGCAATGTCAGAGAATACAAGACCATGGCAGAAAAATTAAATATATTCCCACATAGCTATAATAAATAATTGGAAAGTAAATTTAAAATTTCCCATTAATACACCTCCTCAGAGTTAAGCACTTCATTTTTCAGTATAAATACATTTTTCAAAAACTTCTACAGTATATGTGTGCCTCAAACTATAACATACTGATGAAAGAATTCAATAATGGCCTAAGTTAATGAAGAGCTACACCATGACTATTGATTGGAAGATATAGCATAACTCAATTCTCTCAAAGTTGATTTATAAAGTTCTATTTTTGTCAAAGTCTTAAAAGAATATCTTTTAAGACTTAATGTACAAGATATTTCTAAAATTTACACAAAAGAAAGTGATTTAAAAATGTATAAAACAAAGTTGAAGAAATCACATTAGCAGTTTTTAAAGTTATATATTTTACCTTTGTACTTGTACAGTATATATGAAAATGTATTTTTCAGATATTTTTGATCTGAGGTTGATTGAATCAGCAGAAGTAGAAACCACAGATACAGAGAATTGACTATAAAAAGAAAAAGCATGATCATATCAAATGATGCAGAAAAGTTGTTTGGCAAAATGTGTACTATGAATACAGATTATACAATTACATTTCTATTAAGCACAACAGTAATATGGATAGAAAAACAGACACAAGTATCAATGGAACAGAATAGAGGCCCCATTAGTAGACACACAAAGAGTACTTTGTATCTGACTTTTGATAAAGATGCAAAAATGATTCAACGACGAAAGGATAATTTTCTTACAAATAGGAAAACTGGATATCCCTTGGTAAAAAATAAGCCACAGTTTAAATTTAAATTTTGAGGTAATATGAAAATTACCTCAAAAATGGAGTTTTAGATATAATTAACCTTAAATTGAAAGTTTTAGAAGGTAACACAGGAGAAATACTTTGTAACTTTGGGTTAGTCAACAGTTTATGATACCAGCTACATCATTCACAAAATACTGATTGACAAAATTCACAAAAGTTAAAAAAGAAACATTTTCTGTGTGAAAAATACTGTCAAGAAGCTGAAAAGACAAACCAAACATTGGGGAAAAATATGTATAAGTTGCTTATATTACAAAGGTCTTATGTCTGGAATGTGTAAGGAAGTTTTTTAAGTGGAACCGTAAAAATAAAGAATTCAATTATAGAATAGGCAAAAGTCTTGAACACATACTTCACCAAAATGATATGTCAATAGCAAAAATAAATAAATAAATAAGCCCACAAAAATAAATACATAAAAATATTAGACTTTAAGGAAAAGAAAATTATAACTATTATGAAATACCACCATATACTCATTAAAATGGCTAAATTAATAACAATACTGAAGCCTAAAAAGAATACAGACCAACTGGCTTTTTTACCCATTCTTAATGAGAATAAAAAGTAATGGTCTGCCACTCCGTAATAGAGTTTGAAAATTTCTTCTAAATTTAAATATATACTTACCAAGTAATCCTGGGTATTTATACTATAGAAATAAAAACATATGTCATGTAAAAATGTGTTCATGAATATCCATAGCAGCTCTCCCTATAATAGCGAAAAACTAGAAGCAACTTCAATGTCTTTCAACAAGTACATGGGATCCAAAATGTTGTTATATATCCATGCAGTAGAAAACACTGAGGAAAAAAATATTGATATATGCAGTTAGTTGAATGCATCTCACTATATTGTTAAGTGAAAAGTAACAAGACCAAAAATGAACACATACTGTGTGCTTTATTTATATTAAGTTCTAGAAAAGCCTACTAAAGATTCATGGTTGCCAGGGCTTAGGTTTGGTGGGGAAAGTGTGATTGGAATGTATAAAACAAATCATTTCTTGAGATTGTAGAACAATTTTCTATTCCAATTGTGGTGGTAACTGTATGAATACGTATTTATGATGAAGAATTACACTTTTAAAACAGTTTAGGTAAAAATGTGGGATCAGAATCCATAGTTTACTTGATAGCACTGTACCAATGTCAATTTCCCAATATTTTATAATGTACTATGGTTATGTATAATGTCAATATTTGGGAAAGATGTGTGAAGGGTATGTGCAAACTCTCTATATTAGTTAATGCAACTTCAAAATATATTTTAAAAAAGACAATATCCAGAGGTTATATAATTCTTTATTTTATTTATGGAATTAATTTTTATACAAACAATGTCAGTGATGGAGAACAGACCAGTTGTTTCCAGAAGTCAGGGTGGGGTGAGGGAGGGAAACATGGGAAACTTGATGAGGGTTATACCAGTCTATATATGTGATAAAATTTTATAGACCTTTGCAACAAAAAAACAACAAACATACAAAAAACGGAAAACAAATACATGTAAATTGGTGAAACATGAATAGTCTGTAGTTCAGTGGATAACACTGTATCAATTTCCTGGTTTTGGCAATTGTGCTATGGTTTTTATGAGATGTTACCATTAGGAGAAACTGGGTGAAAGGTATACAAGAAATCTCTGCACTATTCTCTACAACTTTTATTTGAATCTAAAATTATTTCAAAGCATAAGTTTAAAAAAATGACTTAGAGTGTTATTTGCTATGAATGTTTAACTCAGAAGTCTTTTTCCTGTTCCTACCCTATGTTATCTGTCGCCTAACAACCTCATTTCTCATTGAGAGGCATTACAAATGGAAAAGTGCCACTGAATTACTTCCCACTGACTATAAAGCAATCACATTATTGCTTGGCAACCAGCCCAGGGTTATGGACAAGCAGTTACTGAGGAAAAAGAAAAAAAAGCTCAAGTGCAGTTTTTATTTGAAATTTCCCCTGAAATGGAAAGATGTTCATTAACATAGGATGGTAGTGTGCCTAGTTTGACAGAACATAAAACTGTATGCAATTTTGCTGAACTAATATAAAAGAATTTTTGTCAAGCCTCCAAGGATAGTATTAAAACAATAATACTGTAAAGCATTTGATTCTCATTTAACCAACATCATATTAACAGGTCAGATTTAAGCCAGCACTGTGAAATAATTCTCTAAGCCCACTACTAGTCTTTTTCAACAGAACTGATTTTATTTGGTGGGAGTGTATTCAAATGATGATTAATAAAACTCTGAGTTCCTTCTATATAAATTAAACAAACAAAAGACAAAAAAGGCCAGATTTACTAAATTAATGTTTCCTTCTGCCATGAACATAAAGCAGATGGTTTTATATTCCTACAAATTCCATGCAAAACTAGATTTGTTTCCATCACATTAAATCCATTAAACTCTTCTTTATATTAAAAAATTCTGAAAATTAAAATTGTGACTGTTTGTGAACAAGCAGTATGTGGGAAGAAATGCTGAAAATATAGTAATTTGATGATTTCAAATCCATGTCAAAGATTTGGAACTCACACATAAAATACTAACAAGTTGAACTTTACCTGGCTCTATTTCCCTAGAAAACAGTGATGATTAAAAATTTACCCTCATAATTTTGTTTTCAGAAATCTCCCCAGAATTTTGCCCTAAAGAAACTCATTGCCTCATAAACATGGATGAGACTTGCTATCTGCTCTTTTATTGACTCTTTGTAAAACTTGTTCATCACTCCCTTTAATATCTGTGACAAGACCAAACTCAGACCCTTCAAATTCTTGTATCAATAACTATTTAATGAGGTTGGAAAGGTTTCTCTCCTTGAAACCAGCTAAACGCAGAGATAAACATTTCCTGGACAGCTTCCTGACTGGGACTTCCCTGATTGTAAAAATAATTACAACTCTAATTAACCTGACATGTAAATTGTCTACTACTACCTAAATAAGTCTGTGGCAAAATCACCCTGCCAAGACACTCTGATCTTCAGATTCAGGATGCTCTTCCTATGGCTTGACTGGATAAAATTGCTGGGGATTTAGCTCTTAATTGTCCAGAGTATTTCTTTAATTTGACAAAATAAAATGCAATAAGTTGTTCTTATTTTTGTTTAATTATATGTTGTTTTATATGAAAATTATTCCAATGCAAGATTTAAATTTTGAATGAAATGAAACTCCAAACTAATAGCAGAAGGTAGAATGTAAGCTATATAAATACATGCCATTGTGGAAGCACTGATAAAGTCAACTGGAAAGCCAATTTAGATCTCCATAAGTCATTCTTAGCAATCAGAATATGTCATCAGCCAGCAGGTTCACAGAGAGGAAATTCTCCTACCAATTTAAGACTGCACACTTAAACTGGAGATCATTTTCTAATATTGAATTTGTAACTCTATAGCAATTATACCAAGTATATTTGGGGCTAAAGAAAGTATATCATATCAAGAAAACAGAACTGAAAATACATAAATAAACCATTTCAATCTTCCTCTCCTATACACAGTGAGATATGAACAGTTCTAATTGCCAGGACCATCCCCAACAGGAGCTGAGCCCACCCTCTTAGCCTTGAATAATGGGGACCTGGAACTGGCATCAAATGCAGTGCAAGGCAGGTGGTCCTCACGTTTACTTGCTGGGCAAGGAAATGCAGCTCTGGGAGTGGCCGTCACCCAATGGGACTGAGCTACACCCTCCTGTTTGCTGTAACACAGTCTGTTGCCTTATTTGAGTGGAATTTTCTATGGAATGTCTTTCCCTAAATAAAAACAGGGGTTCAGGGTGTGCTCTCTCTCTTGCCTCTTGCCTCCCTTGCTCCCCTTGCCCTCTAGCGTGGGAGCTGAGATCTCAGAGCCATCCCTGATCCCTGAAAAAAGTATTTCTGTGTTTGTGTGGTCTTTTATTTGCCAGCCCAATTCACACGAAGTGACCCTGACTCCATCATCCCCTCCAGATGTGGACGATATCTAATAATAAGATCTCTTGGACTGGGGATTTAGCTGAGTGGTAGGGCACTTGCCTAGCATGTACAGAGCCCTGGGTTGAATCCATAGCAACACACACACACACACACACACACACACACACACACTTATTTGTTGATTTTCTAAAGGCAAAAACAAATAGACAAAGTAGAAAGGGCATTGGTGGTTAATAAAATAAACATATTGTATCTCATACCAGAAAAGAAAAAAAAATCATTTATCTTTGACAGAGAATGGTAAAGGTTATTTAGGGGAAAGACTGGGAGTAATATGGGAGCTCTGTTGAAAAGGGAGTAAAGGAAGTACTGATTGAACATTGTGATATTTTTTTTCCAGCCATCAAAGATGAAAAGATTGCATTTTGACTGAAAACTGATGTTAAGTTTTCAGACTCTTCATCATTCTTTTTATCAGTCACCATATCCTGTAGGTTCTCTGCTTCAATACTGTTTAAATCTAACTTCTTGCCATTTCCATCATAACTTCCGCAGTCCCACTTAACATTATGTCTCAGTGAGATCACTGCAACAGCTCCACTCAGGTCTCTTGGAGATCTACTCTTGCCTCACTGTCACCCAAACCTCTTTTTTCCTACTATGGTTATTTTTTTCCCCAAATTTCAAACTCAAATTTCAAATTTGAGTTTTCATTTTTATAGTCAATTATCTTAAATATTTCACATTCT